GTCTCGTTCCCTTTGAGGCACGTGCAGGTCGACTCGCACCAGCCGCAGCCGGCCCTGAGCGCGCAGTCGCGACACGTGGCGGCGTTTGAGAGGCTGCACGGGTCAGGGCACGTGGCTGCGACGGTCGCCCAAGCGTACGGGAGCATCGCTGCGTCCGTGGGCTGAGAGCAGACACCGACGTACGGGCCCTGGTCGTCTCCAGGCCGACACGCAGAATCGGTGTCACACCAACCGCAGCCTGCGGTTTCCGCACAGGCATGGCAGTCAAGAATCTGGGCGCAGTCGGAGCGAAGTATCGTCTGGCCAAGGGAAGGAGCGTCGAATCCAAAGTGGGCGATTGCTAACTCAGAGCCCTGCGCGAGGACTTGCACCGAGCCGACCCAGTTGGGAGCCCCGGTCACTTCGCACTGGAAGATTGCCCCGAGGTCCAGTATTTGGAGCCGCTGGTCGTAGTAAGACTGCCCGGAAGGAACAGCAGCGATCAGGAAGGGGAAGGACGCGCCAAAGGTGCCGACAACTGTTACGGAAGTTGCGGACGGCAAAGTAGAAGAGCTCCCAGCGCGGGAAACCGTTGTGACGAGGACCGTGTAGTTAGCCAAACCGCGGATGATAACCGGACCGGTAGTGAGGGCCGTCTTTGTCCCGTTGGCGTCGCTGGATTGCAGCTGCACAGAAGGTGAAGCATTTGAGACGGGAATACAACAAACCCTGAAACCCTGAAACCCTAGATCCTCAAGAAGCTCGTCAACCTACGAGAAAGCTTGTTTGAAGGCGGTTCACAGCGACACTAAGAAGTCAATATTCCTTGTGAGAAGCTGCTTTCTCTACAACAAGTAAAGAAAAGGCGTACTGCAGAAAACGACAGGCTTCGATCAACAGATTCCGAACATGAGGAGTTGAGCCGCAAAAGCGAAAAGAGAACTTTCTGCCAAGGCTCGTTGAGAGTGTTTGACTTTCGGGAGCAAAGTTACCTGCAAAGACAGCAGTCCCGAGCGGATCTTGTTTGGAATCTGAACGGTGAAGCTGCCGCTATTGGGCAGCGCATCGATTGGAACGCTGATCTGGGGCCCGTCATCCAACGGGTCGATGGAAGCCAGCTGGACGGTTGACGGTGAAGCAGCCGACCGAGACATCCGCAATTTGACGCGCCCGTATTGGATGCCCCCAGTCCACGTGACATTGTACGTTTGGCCCGCCGTCCACACGTCCAGCGAAGCTGGTTGGCTAATGAACGGATCTACGTTTAGGCATGGGTCCACGTTGCAGGCCTCCTGAACAACACGTGGCACAAAATTATGAGCGGCCCATCGAGCACGTTGCTTTTAGACGGGCCAAGCATGATCAACGGAGGAGCTGCTGCGTGACAGTGGACTCCAGGTTCGGACGTCCAACGACTGTTTGCCTGATTTCAAATTCCCTCGCTTCTCTTTCTTTTACAGCTCGCCCTTTTTGAAGGACTCAATGCGAGGGGCATGTCCTTTTCGCTCTCTTCTGCAGTCAAGTCCTCAACTTTGACACTCCTACGAGCTCTTGCACTGGCTGGCGACTTGAGAGCTTGACTGGCCTAAACAGAGGTTTCACTAGCTTTCTGGCCTGTTTGGCAATCAGTGCGCCTGATAAACATCCCTGTTCTTTCAGAGGACGCTCTACAAAGTCAGGAGCAGGAGTCTTGAGGACGAAGAAATAGCGGCAGGGTTGCATGTTTATCTCCTTGTCGATACACCTTCCTCTGTCTCTTTTCAATGGGACGTCCGCTTCATCGTCCGGCCCTGTCGATTCGGACATGCTGCACTTCCTTCTTTCATGCCATGAAACGATGTAGTCTATGGCCGGGTAAAAACCATTGAAATAAAGAAATAATGAAAGAAAGCACTTTTTCTGTTATCTCTTCACGAAGCAGCACTGACCTGAGTGGGCGGCCGCGCGTCGCTGTCGCAGAGTGACACGTCAGCAAAGCTGCCGTCGGACGCTTTGCAGGCGAGGTCCCGCACGTGACTCCCGCCCCCGCAGTCCTGGGTGCACTTTTGCCACTCGCCCACCTGTAAGAAAGTGAAGAGCGGACGTCCTTTGCTCAGTTCCGGACGGCATGGCTCTAACTCACGCTTATCATCACAACGAGCGTGTGCATTATCAGCCGTTGAGAGCCAATAGATCGTGGAATCCAGGCCGTTGCTTGATCCAGCAAGGACGCCTCTCTTCAAAAAGGATTGCCGCTCGTTTTATGGTTGGGTTTTTGCTTCATTCTGGCCTTAGACAGCAAGCAAACAATTCTTAAGGATCACGTGCGCAATCATATGTGAGCATTCCTGCGTCTTGGAAGACGGGTTTTCTTTTCACATGCAAGTCCCCTCTCTGACATGTCTCCCCCTTTCTTAAAGTTTTGGAGGTTTTCCCATAAAGCGAAAGGAAGCAAGAAGACACCGGAAACAAGCAGTACAAAAAGATCATCTTCGAATCTTGAACTTTGATGCATCTTCGACTTTGGACTGACGATGTGAGAATGTTGAGGCTTACCTGCCAGGCATACGTCCTGCACGGCTGCGTATTACATTCGTAATACGTATTGGTGACGCTCGTGCTAGGATCCGGCCCGCAGTAAAAGTCCTCGCACGTCCGGTCGTCCCTCCGTCCGTTCCACATGACGTAACCCTTACAAGCGAACTTGCGCCACTGGGTGCCGCCTCCGCAGGAAGCGCTGCAAGGCATCTCGGAAATCACGACCCACTGCGCTTTGTTTGTGCAGCCGTCATCGCAGTAGAGCCTGCAGGACCAAGAAAGATAACAGAATCTTGGTCCTCCAGATGTCAGAATCTGCTTCTAGTCGCGCTCCATCAAACGACTTAGAGCACCTCTCAAAAAATACCGCAATGAGTAGGCTTGCAGGACTCAAAACCGAAAGACTGGGAGATCTAGCACCCTGAGGTTTCAGACTGAAGCAGGTTCGTACGCTTGACAAAAGAGAACACCGACCACATGGTTGTAGCTCTTCACGCATCCAGCCCGCTTCGAAACAAGGGCTCAAAAAGGGGAGAGCGAAAGGAGAAGTTGCGAAATTGACAAAAAAAACTTCGTTCGTAGAGCTCCTTTCAGCTGAGTACATTCTCAAAGAGTAGGCTCAGAGAGTAATTTTGAAGCATCCTCTTATCTGACGGTCAAGAGTGCAGCTTAGAGTCGTGACCTGAAGATCTCCGTCAGGCCCACAAGATTAGACCGAAGACGGAAATTCTTATGCCTGTGTCCTGTTTCGGACTTATTGTTCATGGAGAGAGACTTATTCCTCATGAAGAGGGAATCATGGTTCATGAAGAGAGGCTTATATTCGATGAAAGGGAGACTTATGGTTCATGAAGAGAGACTTATTTTTGATGAAGGAAGACTCACCCTTGCTTCCTGCAGCATTCTTGGTAGCCGTTGCCCCGCGTGTCGCAGCCGAACGTGGTCTGGGTTCCATACCGGAGACTCGTGGCAACCATTCCGCAGAAGAACGTTCCGTCTCCGTTCGACTTACAGGAGCAAGCGGAGCAAGAGTAGCCGCTCCCCGACTGACACAGCGGGACGTTGGGGCACTGCACGCACGCCTGCGCGTTGCAGCTCGCGCTCACGGAGGGCCTCGTGCCCGGGTTGCATAAGCTGGCGTCAACGGTGGTGCCGTTGAGCGCATTTACGCAGCTTGTAGTGCGCGTTCTCACACCGCCCCCGCACTCCTTGCTGCACGGCCCGAAGTCCCCGGTCGTCCAGACGTAGCCACTCATGTCCAGCCCGCCGTAGACCGCAAAGAAGTCACTGAACGCAAAGTTTCCCAAATCCTCATCGGACGCCAGCAATAATTCGAAAGCTCTGCTCGTCGGCAGGCCGCCGTCAATCGCCCAGTAGAACGAGCCCGTGTTGGGAATGCTCGCGAGCGGGATGCCGAATCCCGAGAAGACGTCCGCGCTATTGTCGAAGCGGTAGCGCAGGACCACGTTGCCCCCGAGGGGACCCCCCGACCACTGCACGGTGAAGCCCTGGCCTGCCCGGAGGGTGTTTAAGGAGGTTGGGCGGGTGAAGGCAATCTGCTGCTCCTCCAGGGCGCAGCGATTCGTCCACCAGTCACTCGGCAGAGCGCTGCTGCAGGCGCTCTGCGATTTGAGGCACGTGCCACTGCTCGCGCACCAGCCGCAGGAGGCGCCCCCGGTGAGGCACACCGGGCAGTCTTTGAGGGCCTTGCAGGGGTCGGTAGAGGCGCAGTCCCCGCCGTCGAAGTTGCACTCCGGCAGGTTGCAGGCTGCCTCGCACGTGCCGTCTCCCAGGGAGCTCGAACGGCACGTGCTGGGGCACCCAGGGACAGTGCACGTGCCCGTGGTGGCCGGTTTTGCGCCCGCCTTCGAGCAGTGCGCGTCGCCCATTGCGAAACCCGGCTGCCCGTCGGCCTGGCACGTGACGTCGCGCTTCCACAGGCCGCTCGAAGTGCATGTGCCCCAGCCCCCGGTAACCCACTTATACACCGGTTCGGCTCCCAGCAGAGGAACGCAGCCCGAGCAGAAATTGCACGGAAGAAAGTGCTTCCCAATGAGCTTGACCTGCTTGCGGAACGGAACGATGCTCCCGCCGACGTTGATCTTCTTTCCGCTGATAGGGATCTCCAATTTGCGGGCAAACAAATGTTGGTCAAGCGAAAAGTAGAATGAGTTGCCAGTCCGGAAGGGAGGGACCGAACGGCTGACAAGGAGAGAGACGAATGCAATCTGGTTTAAGCTGCTAATAAAAGTCTTGCAGACGGGCAAGTAGGGGCCAGAGACAGGCTTTAAGGGTCACGTATACTTTGGATCACCCCAGGAGAGAGAGTCAAGCTAGTCTTGCTTGACAATCAGATTGATTGTCTACGCTCTCTTGCAATGGAAGATGACGAATGGATAGCCATTTGGGAAGTCTTCTCTTTTCAGAACCGAGCTTGTAACAATTTAAGGAGCCCCCACGTCTCAAGTGTTCCGTCATGACTTCAAATAAGTGCCAACACGGTGTCAAAACAGACGATGGGACTGGGTGCTTCAGCAGTAATGATGAGCCCAGATATTGCGAGTGTAAATGCGCTCACTTGTTGAGGCCCAAGGATAAGTTGAACCCGGCGTACGTCCTAAAGGAGAAGGGGCAGTCTGCCGCATTACTGTCTGAATTGGCCCGGAAGTCCGCCCCGAGGTACGGCATCGGGGCAATAATGATCGGTAAAGCGTCGTAAAGCTTTAGGGTTATTTCTGGGATAAGCAGTCCTTCGACCGTTGCTTCGCCCTGGAAAGAGAGCTTGGGCTCCTCGTGGAAGTTCAACGGGGCAAAGTCGTCCGGCTGAACCGGCCGGAATTCCCCCCAAGCTGCCCGGAATTCCTTCCCAAACTGCGCAAAGAAGAGAAAAGCATCTCGTTGTGCGAACCATCTGGTTATCATGAAAGCAAGCCCGAAGCTCAAAGGAGTCAGATGCTGAGGATTCGAGTCGCACACGGTTCCAATGAGCACGGTCTGCACAAGAACCCGGGTGAGAGCCGCTTCGAAACTTCCTTCCAGATCAGAAGTCAAGTCGCGAGGCTCGCACTTATCAATAGCTATAAGCAATCAGTTTCTGGTTTCGGCCGATTCCGGCATCCTAGCTGATATAAGATTGAACTACATAAGCTGATATAAGTCAAAAGTATATAAGCTCGGATAAGACCCCTACTTGCCTGCATACGCTGACGATAGTCCACCCCAAAGCTCGCTCCACCGCGCACTGAAGCCGCGACGTTCGCCTGCGCCTTAAGCTGAATGCTAGGGGTTACAACGATGGGCACGTCCCCTGCCATGATGGTGAGCGTACTCAGCACCTTGTTGGGGCCAATCGGCTTCGTCCAGCTGTTCCTACCGGCTATATGATCGAACTGCGCATTGAAGTCTGCATTCATCTGGAAGTCGCCGCTGATGACGACCTTCATCTGGTCCAGATACACCGGAACGACAGCCTGCACTCTCAAAGAACCTGGGTTTCTCTCAGAGGGAACGCCTCGGTATGCACAGGGAAAATGTGACGTTAACCAGCACTGGTTAGGCCCTGGTTAGATGCCTTTTCACGATACTGCATTTGTTCATAGCTGGTTACACACCTCTTAACCTCAGGATTAGCAGCAAGAAGTTCCTCTGATGTAGTACAGTTTGAGGAGGTCTTTTGATGATAGCAAGGAGGACGTTTCAAATTCCCTTTGCCCTCAAAAAGGCACGCATCAGACTGCAATGCAACAAGCTTGAGCGGTGGTGCTATCTGCGGTCGCAGAAACACATTCACGGAAGGGCATCTAATCTTCTCCGAGCGCGTGCTTTGCAAGCAGTTGCGCGCGGCCTTTCTCAGGAAAGTTATGCACGCAAGAAGGCCTTCTCTTCCAAAGCAAACGGAGGACCGACCTGCTGCGTTTTCAGCACCATATCGAAGCTGACCCCGGCCTCTAGGGTTGCGAAGCAATTCACGCACTCAACCGAAGCCCGAAGTTTTGCGTTGTCGTTGCTGGCCGCGCTCGCGGGATTCAGCTGGTCTCTTTTCAGAAGCGCCCGCTGCTCGGTCTCGTCGAAATTGAACGCGAAGATTCTCCAATTCGAATCCCCGTGCCACTCGTATTTGCCGTTTGCAAGAAGTTGAGTCATTACGTCTATCGCCGTAGCTGCACCATCCCCGACTTTCGTGATGGTGTGCTCTACGCCGTCATAAACTTGCCCCACCACTTTCACTAATCCGAGCAGCTTTCGACGTGCCCGGGTGAGCCCCTTTGCAGGGCTGGAAGCAGAGGACGGCGTGTACCTGGAGGAGAACAACCGGGCACTTGGTGAGCAGGCAAGGTGCCAGGATGTACCCGGGGAAGAACAACCGGGCAGTCAAGCAGGGGAGCAAGCGCTTGAGGATATGCACACCAACCTTTTCCTTGTTGCTTGTAGGGCCCGATCTCCTCAGCATCTTAGTCTCATCATTGACTCTCGTTCAGAATGTTGAGATCTGATGTCGGGCCAGAGCAGAGTTTTGACTATTGCTCTTTCGCACCGTCCATTCAGATTGTCTTGTTCTAAACAGATGATGCCTGTTTGAGCCCAAGCAGGCCACAATGCGTGTCCCAGAAGAAAACAAAGCTCATAAGGAGTACCGGCTCGAGGCAAGAGCAGTGGGCGTGCGATTATACCCTGTTAGACACCCATGAGTAGAAGGAACCCAGACTTTCATTTTTACTGTCACCTAAATGCAAATCGGCAGCAAATGAGCCGCTTCTCGACTTTATTCGTCACCGTCTACTGTACCTGATAGACGGAGAGATGACGTAGGCTGATATCACTGCTCGGAAAGACCGACCTGAAAGACACTTTTGCGCCACGGAAGCAATGGTGCAGCTCCCTCTCCTGTGTTTCTAAGATGACCGTTCCTTCCTCTACACCATCGACGGTCTGGATCAGCTTTCGGTAGATGGGAGCCGGCGCTCCCTCTTGGTCGGTGCAGTTCCACTCGAGTCCTCCGACCAGAGTTGTGCCCACGCGCCAGCCTGGCAGGTGTGCCCGGTTGGACACACTGAGGTGGAGTTGGCCGCCCAAGCACCTGATCAAAAGGCAAAGAGCTTCTTTTGGTGCTCTGCTTGAAAGGCTGGAATCAAGCAAGCAAGGAGGAACGACTGAATGCATCAACAGGAGTTCTAGTGATCAGATGACCTGAGGATATTCTCCTTAGTGGAGCTAAGGACAGGCCACTGTTTAAAGCTTGAACCTTAACGCAGCTTCCTAACAAGATCTCGCCCACATTTAGCCAAACTTTCTAGGATGAACCTTAATGATTCGTAATCCTCTCATCGCAGTCAGTCCACATCTCCAATCGGTTCACTTCCAAGCAGACCACTGAAAGTGAGCAACCAACGTACACGCAAGCATCAGCTTCAGCTGAACCAAGAGCTGCGTGTCTGACACCTGTCAAACTTCTAACCAAGAGCATAAATGAGGCCTTCTTCCTGCTTTCATGGGAACTTTGCTAACCAGATGAGGTTAAGGGGTGTCTAACCAGCTACTAACCAGCTCAAGATGGTGAAAAGGTATCTAACCACTGGGGCCTAACCAGTGCTGGTTAAGGCTAACTTCTCCCTGTGTTTCTGATCTTGTCCCACTCTCACCTGACGCTCGAGATGACGTCAGCATGCTGCGCCAGGTTGACCAGGTGTGCCACGGTGCGCACGTTGTACTTGATGTGCAGCAGAGCCCCGGAGTCATCCACCATGTGCATTGCCTCGTAACGGTGATGTCCCCCAGTCTCATTCTGCTCCTCAGCGTCCTCCAGAACGACACCCGGGTGGCCATGCTCGTTCTTGGCGAGGTGAGCGTCCAAGTCAAAGGACTTGGAATGGTGCTCCAGCGTCTCGTCGTCCCAGTCTCCTTGATCCTCTGTGAATGCGAGAGCGGACCAATGGGAAGCTGAGAGGCGGAGACAGAGGACTAGAAGGGAGACGCGGAATAGGAATTTGGGTGGAAACAAGCACTTGGGATGACCGTTCATTAAGGAGCTCATATTTGCAGCTGACGTATCTTTATATGGATCAGAGGCCATCTGCGAGAGGCTTCGGCCTGGCCAGATTCTTAAGCGCCAGCTGTAACTAGCGGATTGGTGAATCTTTTTGAACACAGGAGCCTGATGAGCTGCAAAAGAAGCCTGCTAGAGAAAGGGTTTCAGATGACATCACTTGGAACGGTCAGCCAACAGTTCGACCTTGAACACCTGAACATATCTCATAACCAGAGGCATCCGAAGACACTTTGCATATGAGTGTCTCGATCTGCCAATGCGCAATGGGTGCAATTGTCTTTTCCTTTATCATGCAGCTTAACTGGCACTGTAGTGCGATCCAAAGGGTGGCACACTAGGAGGATGTAAGAACAAAACAGAGCAAGAGAATCATAAAGTCAAAGCACTTGATAGTACACAATGCTTAGGTACCTGCAACAGTTTAGACTGCCAGCGAGCTGAATAACGAGTGACCAGCTCGTTTTCATTGCTCTTCCCAACGCTGTACAACGTACAGCTTCCAAGGTTGTCAGAAGGTGATTCAATACTATTACGATGCAGAAGGTCAGACTGGTGCGAGAAACGGCTCTGCAACGCTCGCTGCCGCCATGTGCATGATGACCTTGCAATCTGCGACACGATGTGCTCATCGACTGGGTCATGTGGCCTTCCTTGGATCCCCGGGAAGCGGTTGGCAACTGATTCTCTTAGCTCTTCAATGAATTGAAGCAGTTGGAAGCTCCAACTTCCAAGCTCCAAGGGCCAGCCGGTAACTCCGAATGCTGCACTCAGCCTCCACCTGATTTGAATCTAGTCACAAGATGCACAACGCGGAACCCTTTTTTTGAAACCTCAGTCGACGACGGCGGCCGCCCTCGGGTCGCGTTAAGGCGGCCGCTATAAATGGCGGGCCCCGCCTGCCGCGCCGTTACAACTGTCAAAACGCCGTTTGAGCCCGCGTTTGAGCGGCCCGACACGCGCAATAGAGCTAGTGAAAGGGCTCTACGCGCGCTCGCAAGCAGTGATTTGCGCAATGGTGCGCAACAAAACGTATTCTCAGGCCGTAATGACCTGGCCTTGCTTCGTCCAGAGACGGTTCGGGAGCACGTGCTTCCAATTCCAATTTTCCGCACGCCCGCGACGGTGTCCGACTACGCAGGCTGGAGTATACCTTTAGGACCCGGTTGGGGATGGCAGTACCCTCCCTTGTTCTCCCGGTCACGAGGGGTGTCGTTACCGACATGCGCTGCATTGCTTAGGAACTTGGGGCAGCCCCCTTGCACTAGGTCCCTAAGCTTCGACGCCGAGCACGCGTACTTAAGAGTAAGAGTCCACCTTCTGCCCCAAGTCCCTAAGTAGTGACCGGTAGGCCTTGTACGTTACCGGATGAACCCGAGGCTTAAGGACCAGATTCGATTTCGAAGAAGTTGTCCCTAAGTCCTGAAGCCCCCCTAAAGTAGGCCCACCGGCCGTAACGGCAGAGCCTCTCAACCGAAAAGCCCTTCCGCTCTGTTCGCCAACACTGAGGGTGTCGTCTCGGAGGGAAGTCCTAACGGACG